TCGTGGAGGCCTCTCGGGCAATCCTTGGGCCGTTGTGGTGGCCTCCTTCGGGGCCGCCGCCGGCCTTCGGCGGGCGGCCGGACAGGGGAGTGCGCGCCACGGTGTGTCGAAGCCGCTCGGGGAGCAGTGGGATTGGCTTCGCTTGGCCGTCCTGGCGGTCCTCTTGGAGGCCGCCTCGGCAGTCTTGGATGCCTCCATGGGCCACCTGCGGGGCCACCTGCGGCCGTCTTAGAGACATCGTGAGGCCGTCTCGGGCCCCCCTTGGCGCAGTCTTGGCCGTCTTGGAGGCCATCGTGGCCACCTTGGAGGCCCTCTTGGGGCCCTCTTGGGGCCCTCTTGGGGGCCTCCTGGGTCGTCATGGGGCGGTCTTGGGGGCCTCTTTGGTCGTCGTGGGCCGTCGGAAGGCCGAAAAGAAGCAAATGCCAAACATATCTCAAACCTTCTAACCAATAAATGGAGTTGCCCCCCTCGGGCCTTCCTGGAGGTCCTCTTGGAGGCCCCTTGGGCCGTCTTGGAAGCCTCTTGGCTCGTGGGCCGTCTCGGGCCGAGGCCATCTTATGCCGTCTTAGATACATCTTGAGCCGTCTTGGAGACATCTTGAGGCCATCTTGGGTTCTCTTGGGGCAACGTTTGGGCAATATTGGCCGTCTTGGAGGCCATCTTGGGGCCCTCTTTGGACCGTCTTGGGGGCCTCTTGGGGCCGTCATGGGGCCATCATGGAGGCCTATTGGGCTCTCTGGGGACGATATTTGGGGCCTCTTGGGCCGTCTTCGGCCGTCGGAAGGCCGAAAAGACGCAAATGCCAGAATCTGTCAAAACATTTCGGACATAAATGATGTTGGCCTCTTCGGGCCATCCTGGCGATCCTCTCGGAGGTTTTGTGCCGTCTTAGAGGCCTATTGGGTGGTTCGTGGGCAGTCTTGGGCCAGCTTGAGGCCATCTTAGGCCGTCTTGGGTGCATCTTGAGCCGTTTTGGAGGCATCTTGCGCCCTCGTCGTCGCCTTTGTGAATGTCCAGGTGTATGTGTTGCACACTACATACGTCAATGTTCTTCCGCCAGCCCCGACCCGCCCGCCCGTTAGGGTCCGCCCGACCGACCCACCCGTTAGCCCAAGGTCCGCCTCGTCCTCATCCCCTACGTCGCATTCGTCGGCGTCGTCGTCGTCGTTGTCGCTGCCCTCGTTGTCGTTGTCGTCTTTGTCATCGACGCCCTTGTGGATGTCCTGATGGATGAATTGCAACCTACTTTAATGTCCCGCCCGACCCGGCCCGCCCGCTGGTTTGGGTCGGCCCGCCCAGCCCGCCAGTTATGGCCCGCCCGTCAGCCCGCCCGTCGGTTCCGACCCGCCAGTTGGGACCTTTCCCGACCCTCCTATAGGGTCCGCCCGACCCGACCCGCCCGCTCGCCCCGTCTGTCAGCGTCCGCCCGACCGACCCGCCCATCAGGGTTGTCGTCGCAGTCGTCGCCCTCATCGACGTCACCGTCCTCGTCGTCGTCCGCGTCGTCTTCGTCGCCCCCGTCTTCCTCGCCCTCGTTGTCGTGGGCGTCGCCCCTGTCGCCGTCGCCGTGGATGTCTCCCTGGATGGATTGCACACTGCTTCCGATCTTCGGGCCGAATCGCCCTGCCCGCCCGTTAGGTTCCGCCCGCCCGGGCCGACCGTCAGGGTCCGCCTGCCAGACCCGCCCGTGACCCGCCAAGCCGATTCGCCCGTTAGGATCAGCCCGCCCGTCGCAATCGTCGCTTTCGCGGTCGTTGCTAACCAGACGAATTCCAAGGTAACGAGAATAATCGAACAGTATGTTGTCCGCCCTCTTTGCGTTCCAACGTGACGAGAGGAATGGACTATTATGTGTTCGCCCGCCTGTGCTGCCATTTGCGGCAAGTAGTGCACAAGAGGTGCTGCTCCCGCGCCCCCCGGGGTTGTCACGTCACGAGAAGACTTGCATTTCTGTTTTGCGTCGCACCTTTGGGCGGCCAGGTGGAAGAAGTTGTTGCATGTGGTGTCATACGGCGAGTAGGGCAGAATACTCGGTTTCTTTCTGCCTGGTATCCTGAATTGCGAGGCCAACTCAAGGCCTCCAGGAAGCAACGAGCACAATGCACGTGAGTGATGTGCCGAATCGAGCCTCAGCCAGAAGCCTCTGGAGAGATGTCGGGCACGAAGTGCGAGAGATATGCCGAATGAGAGATCATCTCAGCCATCTTAGGAATGAGCCGAAAACATATGTGAGGCCAGGAAGCACGAAGTGCGTGAGAGGTGCGCCGAACGGAGTCTCGGCCGAATGTTTCTGGGAGGGTTCGCAAGAGGGAGGGGGCAAGATCATGAGGATATTGATGATGAGCAGGAGGATGACCAGAATGAGCATGAAAAGCAGGGAGGATCTGATGATGACTATTGTGACGAAGATGAAAAGGAGGAGGTGGATGATAAGGTTGATGAGGTTGATGATGAGCTGAATGCGGGGGTAGGGTGAACATACTAAAGATGAGTCTAAACAGAAGGAGGAGGAGGAGGAGGAGGGCAGGATGAAGAGGATGGTGATGATGAGGCCCAAGGAGCGGAATATGAAGATGACGAGTCAGTTTTCTGGCTCCCCTTGGGTTGCCATGTGACGAGTACGCCAAGGAATCCACTGGAGTTCCGAAGGATGTCCTGAGGAACCAATCAAGAATGTTCCGAGGATTGCCTCAGGATCTCCACAGAATTCGTAACGATGTCCTTTCTGGATTTCCCATTTCGCTTAACATTGCTTGAACTCAGGGGTTCTTAGTTGTTTTCTAAGGAATTGGGCTTGCGTGCCGGTCTGGCGGCTATGTAGCCGCAGTCGCTGCTTTGTCGCCGCCTCGTCGCCGCCGTGAGATTGCACCACCTACGTAGTTTTTGTTGCTGTGCATTGCGTTGCGTTGCCCTGCTTTGTTTTACTTTGCACTGCATTGCTCTGCATTGCTTTGTGCTGTTTTGCCTCGATTTACGCTGATTCGCATTGCATTGCTTTTCATTGCGTTGATTTGCCTTATTTCTTGCTTTGTGTTGCTTCGCGTTGCTTCGCGTTGCTTTGCATGGCGTTGCTTTGTGTTGCATTGCGTTGCTGTGCACTGCTTTGTGTTGCTTGCAATGGTTGGCATTGCTTTGCGTTGCTTTGTGCTACTTTGCATTGCTTTGCTTTTCAGTGCATTGCTTTGCATTGCTTAGCAGAGCGTTGCCTTGCTTTGCATTGCGTTGGTTTGCATTGCTTTGCCTTCCCTTGCGTTGCATTGCTTTGCATTTCGTTGCTGCGCCTGGTTGTTCATGGCGTCGCGTTGCTTTGAATGACCTTGCTGTGCATTGCGTTGCGTTCCTTTCTGTAGCTTTGCATTGATTTGCGTTGCTTTGCATTGCTGTGCAATGCCTTGCATTGCGTTCTTTTGTTCTGCTTTGCTTTGCTGTGCGTTGCATTGCTGTGCATTGCTTTGCCTTGTTGTGCCCTGCTTTGCCCTGCTGTGCACTGCTGTGCATTGCGTTGCGGTTCCTTGCTGTGTGTGGTTTTGCGTTGCGTTGCATGGCATTGTTTTGCATTGTTTCGCATTGTTTTGTGTTGTGTTGCACTGCGTTGCCTTGCTTTGCATTGTTTTGCACTGCGTTGACGTGCGTTGCAGTCCGCTTCATTGCGTTGCTTTGCTTTGATTTGCATTGTTTTGCATTGCGTTGCAGTGCACTGGTTTGCGATGCGTTGCATTGATGTGTATTGCGTTGCATTGCCGTGCTTTGGTCTGCTTTGCGTTGCCTTGCGTTCCACTGCCTTGCATAGCTTTGCATTGGTTTGCACCGCGTTGCAGTGCTTTGCATTGCTTTGCCTTGCGCTGCATTGTGTTGTATTGTGTTGCGTTACGTTGCGTTGCATTGCGTTGTTTTGTGTTTCACTGATTCGCATTGCGTTTCATTTGTTCTCAGCGTCGCAGTGCTTTGCTTTGCATTGCTTGACATCGCTATGCATTACTTTGTCTTGCTTTGCACTGGACTGCTGTGTTGTGCATTGTGTTGCTTTGCATTGCCTTGCGTTGCATTGCTTTGCATTGCGATGATTCGCTGTGCTTTGCGCTGATGGGCATTGCGTTGCTGTGCTTTGCATTTCGTGGCTTTGCATTCCTATGCACAACTTTGTGTTGCTTTGCGCTGTGTGACTTTGCATTGATTTGCGTTGCTTTTCGTTGCTGTGCATTGCTTTGTCTTGCATTGCTTTGCCTTTATTTGCATGCTCTGCATTGCTCTGCATTGCGGTGTTGTTCCTTGCATTGCGTTGTTTTGCGTTGCCTTCCATGGCATTGTGTTGCATGACTGTGCATTGTTTTTGCGCTGCTTTGCGTTGCGTGTGTGTTTGCACTGCTTTGCGTTGCATCGCATTGCTTAGTCCTGCTTTGCAGGCCTTTGCGTCGCTTTGCTTTACGCTGCTTTCATGTGCATTGCTTTGTATTGCGTTGCAGTGCATTGCTTTACATTGCTATGCATTGCTTTGAACTGCATTGCGTCGCTTTGCCTTGCTTTGGTTTTCTTTGCGTTGCCTTGCTTTGCATTGCTTTGCATTGCGTTGCTTTGCTGCGCATCGCTTTGCAGTGCTCTGTATTGCTGTGCACTGCGTTGCATTGTTTTGTGTTGCTGTGCGTTGTGTTGCATTGCGTTGCATTGTTTTGCGCTACTTCGCTGTGCATTGCATTGCCTTGCACTGCGATGCTCTGCATTGCCTTGCATTGCCTTGCACTGCTGTGCACCACAGTGGCTGCACCACATAGATTGCACCATCTAGATTGTACCGCCCACATTGCAGGCGTGCGGGCGCGCGGGCAGGCGGGCGCGCGGGCCGGCGGGTGCCCGCGCGGGTGCGCGGTTGGCCGGGCGCGCGGGCGGGCGGCTGGGGGACCCGCCGACAAACCAACGAATCAACGAACCAGCCGTAGACATTTTGGCTCAAGCCAAAATGACCCAAGGCATTTTTGGGCTCATGCCGCGGTGCTTTGTTTCGGATGCTGGACATCGGTCGAGGGTCTCGAGAAGGCGCTGTTTCCTTCGAAGTGTCGATCAAGAAGTGCGGTCGGACAAAACAATGGAGCGCAGCATTGCGGTTGCTCCGGGAAGGAATTCGATTAGGTGTGCAACTTGTCCCAAGCCACTACGTTGCGATTGTCAGCGCATGCGGAAAAATTGGACAGTGGCAACACGCGCTGTCAGTGCTGAGTGAGATGTGGGAGGCGAAGCTGGAGCCCGACGTCATCTCTACTACATTGCAGGCGCACGCGCGTGCGATAGGGGCGGGAGTCGGGGCTAGGTGTACCGGCGCCCCGGCGGCCCCTGCGGGCTCCTGCGAGCCTTAGCACCCCAGCAGGCCCCGGCGTGCTTCCAGGAGGCCCAAGGGCGCTCCGAGACGACCCCAGGGCCCCCAAGAGCGGCACAAGACGGTCCAAGAGGGCCTCTGAGACGGTCCAAGAGCGTTCGCAGACGCCCAAGATAGCCCCCAGACGGCCCAAGAGGCTTCCAAAACGCTCCAAGTGGGCTCCAAGAAGAGTCCCGAAAGAGCCCGCACAAGCAAAAATCGTCCCCACTCCTAGGGAAAACGTACATGTTCATAATTCCCGTCTTTTTCGTTTACAAAGCATCCAAGAGGGAAATTCACGCCCCAAAGATCGTCCCATGACGCCTCAGGAGCGCCCCAGGAGGGCCCCGGGCCCCGAGACGGCCCAAGACGGCCCCAGGACGGCCCAAGACGACCCCAGAACCGCTCCTGAGCGCCCACGACGGCCCAAGAGTCACCCAAGGCAGCCCCAAGAGCGGCCAAAGACGGCCCAAGACGGCCCCAAGACGGCACCAAGCCGGCCCCGGAGGCGTCCAAGAATGCCCCAAGACGGCCCAAGGGGCACCCAAGACGGCCCAACAGGGCCCCAAGAGGCCCCAAGGATGCCGCAAGACGGTCCAAGGGGGCCCCAAGTCCCCCAGGAGGGCGGAACGAAACCGCGAGAGGCCCCTAAACGGTTCCCAAGGAGAAGGAAGCGCCGGCCATCAGTGGCCGCATAGGGAGCTTTGCTTTCCTCCGTGGGTGCGGGCCCGAGAGCGCGAAGCTAATCGGGCTCGCACGGCGCGGCGCGGCGAGATATTTGGGTGGCCCTGGATTCCGTGGGCGTGTTTCCGAGAGGCCGCCCAGGTGATGGACACAGTGAGGATGACGTACGGAGCGCTGAACGTGTCCCCAAGACGGCCCAAGAGGAGACCAGACGGCCCAAGAGGGCCCAACAAGGTCCCGAAGAGGCCCACAAGAGGACCTGAGAGACCCTCAACCCCCCAAAGAGGCCCAAAGAGGCTTCGAAACTGCTTCCAAGAGAGGGGACCATGCGCTCCTGACACGCCCAGGAGAGCCTCGCCATCACCAGAACTCCAACGAAACGGTCTCCCCAACGCAGCGGAGCACGTCCGACCCAACAGCGGTCTTTGTTAAGGTCGCATTAAATCTGCCTCTCGAAGCTCTCTTGGACCCTCCCTGGAGATCCCTGCGAGCCTGCTAGGCGCTCCCGCTGGCTTTCCCCGAGGGCCGCCCGAGCCCGTCCCTGGGCGCTCCTGAGACGCCTGAGAGGGGCTTCGACTTCCCAGACCCCCTCGAGTAATGAAAAAATCATGACGGGATGTTTTTCCTACTTTTCGGCCTCCAGGGGCTCTCACCGGGCCTCGGAAGCGTCAAAAAACGACTCAGGATGCAAAGCCGGTCATGGGGAAAGGGACCAGACCTCTGGGGGTCGACGTAATGAAAAAATCATTACGTCGGGGGTCTGGGTTTGACGCACATCCCCGAGGGACTTCAACACTGCCTTCACCAGGAGGGAGGCGAAGGAGCCGCGCGCCGGGGCCCAGCTGCGGGAGCGTTGCGAGAGCTCGGACGCGAGGGCGCGGTCTCGCTGCCGCCGCCCCGGCTGCAGCCGTGCTCAAAGATGTTCGTCAAAGTCTCCGCCGTTCCTCCGAGAGTCGTGCCAGAAAGATGCCCCGGACGGAGTCCACGAGTCAGCCCTAGAGTCTATACGCGAAGGTCAGCTACAACGCCGGGATCGGTGCGTGCGGGAAGGGCGGGCAGTGGCAGCGGGCCCTGGCGCTGCTGGGCGAGGTGCGGCAGGCGCAGCTGGAGCCCGACGCCAGCCCTCCAGGCAGTGCGGGAGAGCCTCTGCGCGCGAGGCGGGCCCCCGGGGCTCGGAGGTCCCCCGCCCGGGGCGCCCCGCGCCCTCTCCGCGGAGCCCCGCGGGACGCTCCGCGGCGGCCCCGCAGGGTCCCCTTTGGCGGCACCCGCCGATGCCCGGAGCGGGCTCGCGTGGTGCCCGGGGAGCGGGCGTGGAGGCGGCTCACTGCCAGCCAGGACGCCCCCCAAGAGGCCTCCGAGAGTCCTTCCCAGGAGGACCCCCCCAGAGGCAGCGCACGCACTACTGTTCCTTGGCTTGGCATCGCTCGGACGTGTGCATTTTCCATCGGCGAGGACCATCGAGGAGCATGCTTGATCATTTCGCCCCCCCCCAAAAAAACACGCACGAATCCGAAAAAAGCACAGGAAATGGACGTCCGAGCGATGGTCAGCCAAGAGTCCTTCCCAGGAGGACACCCCCAGAGGCAACGCACGCACTGCTGTCCCTGGGGTGCGCGAAGGATGTTGCCTGTTTCGGCTTCCCGACGCTCCAGGACGGCGCGAGAGGGTCCCAGGATCGCCACGGCACGGCCCAAGAGGCGTCCGAGAGCGCCCCGAAGCGGCCCCAGAGGGCCCGTAGACAGCCGACCACGCCTCTGAGGCTGCCCAAGAGGCCCGCAAGACCGCTCCAAGAGCCCAGACGGGCTGCCCAAGAGGCCCAGACGGGGAACCAGAACGGGCATTTCGAGCCCTCGGCCCGAAGGTGCATTCAGGAGGCACCAAGAGGCCTCCGAGAGGCCCCAACGATAATCCACGAGGCCCCCGCGAGGCTCCCACGAGGCCCCTAAACTGTCCCCATGAGGCCCTTGAGAGCGTCGAGAGCGCTCCTAAGTGGCCCCAAGAAGCATGCCTGAGGACTCTGACACTCAATCCAGGCACGGTGGCCTGATGGGCCGACATGGACCCCCGAAAGCGGCCGCCAACGGGGTTGTTTGTGTATAGGCGAGGGGGACACCCAGGACGGGCCAGGAGGTTCCCGCGAGCGGCCCTAGAACGTTGCAAGTTCAGGCATGTCAGGGTGCTACTCGAAGATGTTTCAAGTGTATGTAATCAGCTCCCTGCGGCAAGTCCTGCCGCCGTGTCTGGGCTGTGGGTGTGAGGCATATTCGATCTCCGCTGGGATCTCGTGGGAGGCCGCTCGGGGACCTCTTGATGGCAGGTTCGAGGCATCTTGGGGGCAGTTTCGGGGCCTCTGGGGGCCTCTTGGGCGCAGCTTGAGGACTCCTGGGGGCCTCTTGGGCCAGAAGGCAGGCTCGGAGGTGCTCGGTTCCTCTCTCGGGCCCCTTTGGGGGCCGTTTTGAGGCCGCCTTGGGACGCTCTTGGGCCGTCTTGGAGGCCTCTTGGGCCGTTTTGGGGTGGTCTTGGGGGCCTATTGGTCCGCCTTGGAGAGTCCGAAAGCCAAAAAGGCCAGAACGCCAAAACTTTCAAAGACCTAAGGACAATCAACGATTTGTGCCTGTTTGGGCCCTCTCGGAAGGCCTCTTGGAGGCCTCTCGGGGCGTCTTGGAGGCCTCTTGGCCATCTTGAGGCCGTCTTGGGCGTCTTCGACCGATCGTTCGGCAACTCGGGGCCCTCTTGGACCGTTTTGGGGTCCTCCTGGGCCGTAATGGAAGCATTGGGGAGCCCCAGGGAGGCGCCATGGCCGCCCGGGGACCCCCCAGGAGTAGGGGTGGTGCAGTCGGCTGGGTGTCACCAGAGCGGGTGGGTGGTCCTTCATAAGACTACAGAAACCCTGCCAGGCAGCCCTTGGCAGTCTTCCACGTCTCAACGTGCCGCAGGCACCGTTGCGGATTGCGGGCCCAGATACCCCCGTGAGGGCCCCAAGACGTTCCAAGACGGCGTCAGGACGGTCCAAGAGGGTCCCAAGCCGACCCAAGAGGCACCCAAGACAGCCCCAAGAGCCGCCCAAGACGGCCCAGAACGGCCCCAAGACGGCCCAAGAGGCGCCAGAGACAGCCAAAGACGGCCCCAGACGGCCCCAAGACGACCCAGAAGGCACACAAGACGGCCCAAGAGGGCCCCTAGAGGCTGCCAGGAAACCGAAAAGAACCCCCAAGAGGAAGAGTCAGTCCCCCAAGCGGCCCCCAAGAGGCCCTCAGTGGCTTCAAAGTTGCTTCCAAGAGGGGGGGGCGGACGACAGGCGAGAGCCGTATCGCAGGCCCCACGCAGCCGGCCCCCATGACGCCCTAAGTGGTTTCGAATTTGCCTCCGTGAGAGGGGGGCGGACGAGAGGCGAGACGCGATCGCAGGCCCAGAAGACCCGATCTGGACGCTCCGAGGGCCTTGGATGCTCGCCTTCTGGGGGGCGTCGTTTTGGCGTCCACGATTGGCGATCGGAGATCGAGCAGATGAAGGACCCAGGAACAGGAGGAGGAGGAGGAGGAGGAGGAGGAGAATGAGTAGAGGAGGAGGAGGAGGAGGAGGAGGAGGAGGAGGAGGAGGAGGAGGAGAGGAGGAGAGGAGGAGGAGGAGGAGGAGGAGAGGAGGAGGAGGAGGACCTGGATAACTTGTGAACAGACCGCCCCCTTGGGTAGAAATGTTCAGCAATTGTCCGGGGCCACCCCGCTCCATCTTCACGGTGCATGACGTTGCTGCTCCGGATCCGCGCTGTCACACGGACTTGGCGTCGTCGTCGTTGTGATCGTGTTCGTCGGCTCCGTCGCATCGTCGTCGTCGTCGTTGTTGTTGTCGTCGTCATCGTCGTCTGGACTTCGAGAGGGCGTCTTGTCTGCAGGCCTGTGGGGAAGAGGAGAAGGAAGGGGAGAAGGAATAGTAGGAGCAGGATGAGCAGGTATACTGGGGAGGACGAGGGGGGAAGAGGAGGGGAGGAGGACTAAGGACGCAAGCGAATATCGCGCGGACGATGACAGAGCGGGAATGAAGACGACGACGACCTGGCTAGGACGGCGACGATGAGGGCAGCAGCGGAGGCGGCAGCGCTGGGGGGAGAGCAAGACACCAGGCTCGGAGCATCGACAAAAGCCCAAGAGGGCCCCCAGCGGCCCCCTCGCAGCCGAGTGGCTGACCGCCATGTCGATATCCTTTCGGCAGCATCCCCGCCGCCGCCCCGAGAATATTTTCGGCCAGATGACGTGGACAGAGTCCACGGGTCAGCCCTAGTCATCTACAATGCTGGGATCAGCGCGTGCGAAAGGGGCGAGCAGTGGCAGCCGGCGCTGGCACTGCTGAGCGAAATGCAGGAGGCGAAGGTGGAGCCCGATGTCATTTACCCCATCTGGCCAGGGCGGCGCGTGCCAGAAGGGTGGCAGCGCCAAGTGGCCACAATCGCGCCAGGCGGGTCGCGAATACGGCTTTCGGACGGCCCAGCATGGCCTCAACGCGGCCCAAGGGGGCTCCAAGAGGCCCCTCGAGAGGATCCCGAGGGGCCAAAAATCAGTGATCTCCGCTTTGTTGTTTCGCTGATTTTGGTGTTCCCGCTTTTGCAGGCTTCCGACGCTCCAGCACGGCGCAAGGGGCCCCCGGGATTGCCCAACGTGGCCCAACGGACCCCCAGCAGGGCCCCCGAGAATTCCCAAGAGGGTCCCAAGACCGCCCAGGCAGCCCCAAAGACGGCAGAGGGCCCAAGGGGAGAGGGGCACTCGACCTGACATGCCGCACCCCCCGTCCCAAGATGACCACCGAGACCGCCAGCAGGCCCCCGAGAGGCCTCCCAGACAACCTCAGCATGCCCCCAGCAGGTCCAGATCAGGACCCCGAGAGAAGCCTCAAAGCCGGCCCCCAAATCCGCCTCCAAGCCCACAACCGCCTCCAACAGGTGTTCGACAGCAGCTTCCGCAGAGCGCTCTGGGGCCGCACCGGCCACCCAGAAACTCGGCACCCAGGCGTTTCCTTCGTTCCTGCCATCGTTGGAGCGGCTCCGGTCTGACTGGACGCCTCGTCGGGGAGGTTTCCCCGGAGAGAGTTCCCGCAGCGCAGGCCACCGGGGGCCTGCTCCGCAGCGCCCTGTGCCTTCCCGCGGGCCCCCGCAGCCCGCGCGCATGCTCCGACCTCCTCGGACGGCCGCAGCCACGATGGACCATCGTTGAAAGCAAGGCGCACGGGCGCTTCTCAATTTTCAGCCTTGGCCGCAAGGCGGCTCGAGATCGTCCCGCGGCGGCCCAAGACGCTCCCTCCCGCAGCCCCCCTTCATCCCCCGAAGGCCCATCCGGGCTCCAAGGTGGCCGAGGTAGCCTCAAAGAGGACATGAGAAGGTCTAGATGCAGCCCAGGAGAGCCTCACTACGGCGAATCAGCGAAGCACGCAGCAGCAATCAGTAGCAGCACGCCAGCAAGCAGGCAAGCAAGAAAGCAGCAAAGCCAGCACCGCCCTACGCAAACAGATAACTTGTTTGCGACGGCGCTAGCATCAAGCAGTCTAAGCAAATAATCAGCAGACATGTGAGCGTTTTTTATGTATTATTCTGCCGATCGGCGCGGGCCCTCGCCCCCCCCCCTCCCCCCCCCATGGAGTAGATCTTGTCAGTTTTGGGTGCCTGTTTCGAGCAGGTGGAGCCTCCCCCATAATGGACGCACTCTTGCAAATAGCCGCACGAAGCAGAGGTCCGGAGCCAGACCCCCCTCCCCTCCCCCCCCTTCCGCCCAATGTCGAAACGCCGAATAAAAAAAAACGCTCGCCACCGACTCCTCGAGCCTCAGGACCAACGCCCCGTCCAGATCGGCAGAATCGTTGCCCCCTGGACCCTGGGGGGGTCTGTCCGCGCAGGTCTCTGCCCCCGAATCGATGCTCGGTGGCCCCGGAGCCCGGAAACAGCCCCCAGAGGTTCGCGAGGACGACGAACCTCTGCGAGGTCGACGCTCCTCATCGGGTTGACCCAAGAGGGGGTCCAGCGACAAGGGGGTGGTGCCATAGATTTGGTGCAATAGGTTTGTGGGGTTGCAATACATTCCGTGCGTGCAATACATTCCGTGGCGCGAATGTATTGCTGCATATTCGCGTGCAACACATGACTTGCAATACAATGCAATACAATTTTCCGGCGCAATACATTTGCAATACAATTGCCCCAAACCTATTGCACCACCCCTTTTCAGCTGGACCCCTCTTTGGGTCACCCAAATCCTCTCCCACAATTATCGTCCCTTCTCACCCTTCGTTGATCGCCCATCGCTTCTCGCTTGTTCGATCCCCTCTTGGCAGCAGGTTGGGTCAGGACGCTGAAGTAACGAGACGCATCGCCCTGCAGCATACAGGCAGCAGCAGCGAGCGGCAGCAGCGCGAAGCGGGCAGCCGCGGCGGGAGCGCACATCCACAGCACACAGCAGCTGCAAGCAACGGGCAGCAGCACGTACTAAGCGGAACCGCCATCAGCAAATCTCTGCAGCAGCGGTAGCGAGTAGCAGCACGCAGTGGCATTCGCGGAGAGCGAAATGCGAGCCACACGCGGTATCTTCTTGGCTTTCGGCAACATGTCCACCACCACATGACAGTTCGTGCTGATTTCGTCGGAGTAGTCCACGGGTCAGCCCTAGTCAGCTACTGCGGTGGGATCAGCGCGTGTTCGAAGGACGAGCAGTGGCAGTGGACTCTTGCGCTGCTGAGCGATATGTGGGAGGCGAAGGTGGGACCCAACGTCGTTAGCTACACCGCTGCGATCAGCGCGTGCGAGAGAGGCGGACAGTGGCAGCGGGCGTTGGCGCTGCTTAGCGAGACGCGGAACGCGCAGTTGGAACCCGACGTCTTCTATACTACCGGAAGGACACATTGATTGCGCCCGCCAGGCCCGCGTCGGCGGCGGCGCCACCGCGGCCTCGGTCGTTGCGACGCCGTCATGGCCCAGGAGAGCCCCGCGAGTGCCCCGGAATGCCCCCAGAGCGCTCCTCTGCACTGCAAGAGGGCTCCCAGGCGGCGCGAGAAAGCCCCCACCAGGCTCTGGCAGGCTCCCAGCTGGCCTCCGAGGGCCACGAGGACGTAAAACGATTGACATGTTTTCTAGGTGTTGTTGATATACTTGCTCTTACGATCGCTTTTGCGGCCAAAAGACGCCCAACCGACCCCGAGAAGTCCCCCAAATCGTCCAGAGGGCACCCAGGGAGCTCCCAGGAGAGCCCCTGCGACCGCCCCAAAGATCCTCAAGACGGCTCCGGAGACTCCCCCATACGGCTGAACAGTCTCCCAAGACGGCCCCAAGGGAGGCCCAACCGGGCCAATTCTGGAGCGCACCGCCCCCCCCCCCTCCCGCCCACCCCATTGCCAGCATGCCCCCCAAGGAGCCCCCCCAGAGGCTCCCAGACGGCCTCCAGGACGCTCCACGAGGCCCCTGGAGAGCTGCCAGCAGCTCCGTCGAAACGGCTCTGACATGCTCCCAGAAGGCCCCAGCTCATTAGAACAAATGATATCCCACGGGCTCTTCGAAGGCCTCCAGCAGCTCCCACCGAACTGTTCTGATAGGCTCCCAGAAATTGCCAGCTCATGCGAAAAGGCCATGCCCCACACCTCTTGGGACAACTCTCGCGCTGGAAGGGTTGCAGAAAATAGCTGTCATATCCAGCTGCGGCTACCCAGGAACGCTGTTTCTGCGACCCCTCCCCCACCGAGCGTGTCACAAGAGGTGTGGGGTGCGGCTTCTTCCAATCATCTTTGGCCTCCTCCTTCTCCTCCCCGTCGTCGCTCTCCTCCGTTCCTGCCCGCGGAGTCGGAACAGCACGATTTCCTGGAGGGGGGAGAGGATGACGAGAGGGAAGAGGAGAAGGAAGAGGAGAAGGAGGAGCAGCAGGAGCCGAAGGACGAGGACGGGCCAAGCACGACGGTGAGGAGGATGAGGAGAGGGAGGAGGAGGAGGAAGAGGAGGAGGCAGAGGACGAGCCAAGCACGAGGAGGAAGAAAGGGTGGAGGAGGAGGAGGAGGAGGAGGAGGAGGAGGAGGAGCAGGAACAGGAGCAGGAGCAGGAGGAGGAGGAGGAGGAGCTGCTGCTGTTGCTACTGCCGTTGCTACTGCCCGTGCGCCTGGATCTGCTTCCGCTGACGCTGCTGGCGCTGCTCTGGACGCCCTCAGAATCATCAAGCAAGCAGCGCAACCTGCTGACGCAGTGAGCAGCAGCAAGGGCACTCTGACAACTGGCATTCGTGGCCGGTTGTCCACGGGTCAGCCCCAGTCAGCTACAATGTTGCGATCAGCGCGTGCGAAAAAGGCGATCAGTGGCAGTGGGCTGTGGGGTTACTGAGCGAGATTTGGGAAGCGAAGCTGGAGCCCGACGTCATCTATACTACAGGCAACCCGCATAGTAAGGATGGGTCACCTTCCCAAGGCTACCCGTGCATCCTTGCCCCTTCGACCCATCCTTGTTCGAAAAACGTTAACGTGGGCCTCCAAGGCCCTTGCATTCTTACCGCGCATCCTTATGATACGGGTTGACTGTATATGGTCGGGAGCGGCTCGTGCCAGAAGGGTGGCTGCGCCAAGTGGCCCAGATCGGCCCCGCCGGGCTCCCAGACGATTTTCAGATGGCCACGAGACACCCTCAGACGGCCAGAGTCAGTCAAGCCTGGCGCCCAAACGGCGCACTGGCAGATCAAGAATTGCGCGCGGCTCAATACGAAAGGTAGCACGCGTGCCTTGGCTCTTGCACCGAGGAGCTGCGAGGGACAGGAGGCTTTCGCCTCCTTCCTCCAGGCGTTCCTTCCGGTGGCCCGGGAGGGGAGGACGAGCGACGAACGAACGAACGACGAACGAGCGACGACGAAAATGAAGAGGCCCGAGCTCTAGAGCACAGCTGTGCAAGAGAGTCAAGAGTTGCTGCCGGCCCAAGAGATCGCCAGCATGGCATCTCCGGGCAGCCCGGCAGAGCCCCCAGACGGCCCAGCAGAGAGCTCCAAGAGGCCCCCCCCACCACGAGGGCCCCGAGAGGCCAAGACCGGTCTTGTATTATAAGAACGTGTCATCTTATTGTGAGAATATACATATATATATATATGTATATATATGTCCCTGCGGGTGCACTTGCACCTGGTGCAAGATGTATGATATGTGTAGTATGTGTACGTATATGTTTGTTTGTACGTGTCAGTCTGTGTATGTGTATACATATGTGTATATGTATATGTGTATGTATGTGTCTATGTGTACATATGTGTAAGTGCGTCATGTGGAGATATGTACGACCTGTGTATGTGTACATCTGTGTAAGCGTGTGTGCATGTATGTGCACATATGTGTACGTATGTGTGTGCGCATCTGTATGTATGATATATGTGTGTATGTAAATATATGTGACAGAAGTGTACGTCCTCCCTCCACCTCCTCCTCCCTACGACTAATACTACATACTACTACGTACTACTACGTACTACTACGTACTACTACGTACTACTACGTACTACTACGTACTACTACGTACTACTACGTACTACTACTACTACTACTACTACTACTACTACTACTACTACTACTCCTACTCCTACTACTACTACTACTACCTACTACTACTACTACTACTACTACTACTACTACTACTACTACTACTACTACTACTACTACACTACTAATACTACTACTACTACTACTACTACTACTACTACTACTACTACTACTACTACTACTACTACTACTACTACTACTACTACTACTACTACTACTACTACTACTACTATACTACTACGTACTACTACTACTACTACTACGTACTACTACTACTACGTACTACTACGTACTACTACTACTACTACTACTACTACTACTACTACTACTACTACTATACTACTACTACTACTACTACTACTACTACTACTACTACTACTACTACTACTACTACTACTACTACTACTACTACTACTACTACTACTACTACTACTACTACTACTACTACTACTACTACTACTACTACTACTACTACTACTACTACTACTACTACTACTACTACTACTACTACTACTACTACTACTACTACTACTACTACTACTACTACTACTACTACTACTACTACTACTACTACTACTACTACTACTACTACTACTACTACTACTACTACTACTACTACTACTACTACTACTACTACGTACTACTACGTACTACTACGTACTACTACGTACTACTCCGTACTACTATGTACTACTACTACGTACTACTACGTACTACTACTACGTACTACTACGTACTACTACGTACTACTACGTACTACTACGTTCTACTACGTACTACTACGTACTTCTACGTACTTCTACGTACTATTACGTACAACTACGTACTGCTACGCATTGCTACGTACTATTACGTTTTACTACGTGCTATTCCGTATTATTACGTACTACTATTGCAAACACGTGCGTCTTCGTATTTCTTCTCCTCCTCCTCCTCCTCCTCTTCCTCCTCCTCCTCCTCCCCTGTCGGCGCCAGAGCGCTTTGCTCTTTTTGCTCGCAAGGCCTAGGTGCCCTAAGCCTCACGCCCCCAGTACTCGGCCAAGCGCGCCTGCCTGTCCGTTTTCAAAGGATGATGGCATCGAAACCACCACTGGTAGACGTAGCTCCAGAGCTCCACGTTCAGGTTGCCCTCGCCGTCACTCCCCCAGATTCCCTTCGGAATCCACTCCTTGATGCGAGACCACCGCTCATCGACCAGACCTGTGTTCACATCGAGTGTGCCATACCCGCGCACACGCGCCCTCTCATTCCATACCCCCTTTGAATGCACACAGAATCGATGGCGTAGGCCATGCTCACGAGCCAGGCGGGCGTACAAACGAGCACCGTCAGAGACCAGCACCGACTTGTTCGCGACGTGGTCAAGGCCGCCCGACGCCAAGACGTCCTCGCAGCACTCTACCTGGGAGGAGGAAATCACTACAGGTCAGCTCCCTTGGCCCTCCACCCTCCCTGCCTTCATCGCCCCGTCTCCTCCTCCTCCTCCTTCTTTTCCTCCTCCTCCTCGTCCTCCTCGTCGTCGTCCTCCTCCTCCTCCTCCTCCCTCCTCTGTCCCACCCCCTCCCTCCCCTCTCCCCCATCTCTCCTTCCGACGAAGGCAGGGGGGTGGAGGGTCAAGAGAGCTGGCCTGAACTGTTTTACTCCTCGCACTACCGGGCACACGGCATTGGGCGCAACCTTTTTGACGGGCACGAAGTACACCACCGCTCGCGGCACGGCTGACCCGCGGGGCCGCTCGGCCACGGGCTGCCCGATGGGAGATACCCCTGTGTCTAGTTGGTCGAGCCTCGTCCGTCCGCGGCGACGAAGGCCACTTGACGAGCGCCTTCCACGCTTTGGCCATGCTCTGCTTTTCTGCCAAGGCCTGCTTTGCCTCTGTAGTAGTAGGTAGTAGTAGGTAGTAGTAGGTAGTAGTAGGTAGTAGTAGGTAGTAGTAGGTAGTAGTAGGTAGTAGTAGGGAGAGGGAGAGGGACAGAGGGGAGGGGGTGGGAAGGGTCCCGCAAGTTCCCCTCTGAATCCAGGTTGTTCCCAAACAGTGCTTGCAGCAAGTGTGCCGCGCGTTGCTTATCCTACTCCATGTCATGTGAGGATGTCTCGAACGAGAGGCCCATAGAGGTGCAGGAATCACTGAATTGCGATGTTCGCATGTATGAAGAAACTGCAAGAACCATGTAGAAAACAGCAC